ATATTTATTAGATTAGGTTAGTTGGGCTGCTACCAGTCATGTAGCTTCAGCACTGAACCTAGATCTCCAGGTTTCAAGAGTCGTTTACGAATGGTTAAAGGTTCAAGTGTTCCAACTATTAGAGAAGCAACTTCAGACTCTTAAAAGCAAATTGCTTTGTCTTCCAAACGTCAGGAGATGCACATCAGGCTCTAGTCAGGGCCTGCTGCCCAGGGCAAGGATGAGTTGCACTAAATTTGCAATTGCACCAGTTATGGGTACTAGCACTAAGAAATAAGTGGGAGAGCCACCAAGTTCAGGACTCAGCTAAATCAGTACTGAACCTGCTGACAGCCTAGGCTCTTTTTGCCATTACACTGATACAGCTCTGGACAAAGGTATGAGCCGCAATACTGTCTACATTGATGCTACTGGATAAACTGATCTACAGATGCTGCTTTTGTGTGAACTTCGCTTCAGGTGTGGTCTAACTCAGCACCAAGTCAGCCTGCATTTTGGGTACCAAGATCTTGGATACTTGTGTTGAAGATTATTATGTTCTGTTGTTGGGCAAAGAAAATCCTTGAGTCCTGTTTGAATTGCGTTTGTATTGAACCCAACTATCCTGCTGGGAAGTTTCTATCTTCAGTTTCTAGTTGGCACCATTCACTTAGATCAGTCTATCTTTCACTTGATTGTTCCAAAAGTAAGGAAAGAGATAAGAAAGGATTTTATACTTCAACTGACCTACAAGAATCTTCCTCCTAGCTTTATATCATAGATGCTGTCTCCAGGGCCCATTATGTCATTCTGTAGATTTTAGATTTGGCCAGGTTGGTTGTCATGGTTACCTGTGACTCTTATACAAAGATGGTCTTTTTTTTTTTTTGACCTCACCTTCTTAGTGAAGATCACGAAAACTAGATTTACTAGGTCTACAAATGATTAACAGAGGAAAAGGATTCAGCATCAGTAAATGTCCTTTAATTTTTTCCTTCCTCATTACCAGACAAAGCTGACACCAGTACCTTCTGTTATGATTCCTTAACGTGAATCTGGAGGACACTGCCAAGAAATAGGTCTTGAAAAAAGGCTTATTGAAGCTTTTGAATGCCACACATGCCACTTGAAAAAGGGGTGGAGGGGAAGGCCATATAGTTGCTTTTTGGAGTGTGGCTCTCAGACTGCATGACACGTTTTCAGTAGGAGCAAGTGGGGCATATCTCAGCAGTGGTCTTGGCATCTCTGTGGAGGTGTAGACATACCCAAATTTACTTACTTAAAAGTTCTTTGAGATGTTCTGTATACGTGTATCCCATATGTAGCACTTCTTCCCCACAGCTAGGAGTCTTATCGTATGAGTTCTAGGCAGCAGTATAATTGAGTAGTAATTGGTGTTGTATGTGCAACCTTTACCACACATTGCTAATAAAAACATTCTGAATCCCAGTTCAAAGGGTCTATGAATGCCAAGAGTGGGATTTACATGATCAGGACATCTCAGAGTTGTTATAATTTAAAGCAGCACAGGTTTGGGAAAATGAAATGTTTCTGCATCTTTTCTCACTTTGTTAACAAAAGTTGTTCAGTGAATTTAACATGAATTCACAAATTTTGATAAATTCAAAAGTGCGTTTTTTGGCAAAAAAAATAAAAAAAATAAAACATTTGTCTGAACAACTTCTCACAGCTCTAACCGTGACCTTTTTTTCTGTTTGCCCTTTTAGGAAGTAGCAAAATGGAGCCATTTTGGATACTATTTGATATCAGTTAGTCATGGTAGTTTCATAGATTTCATAGACATTAGGGCTGGAAGGGACCTCGGAAGATCGAGTCCAGCCCCCTGCCCCAGGGGCAGGAAGTCAGCTGGGGTCATAGTATCCCAGCAAGAAAAACATCCAGGTCTCTTTTGAAGGCGTTCAAAGTAGGTACTTGAACCACCTCCAGCAGCAGGGCATTCCAGACCTTGGGGGCTTGGACAGTAAAGAAGTTCTTCCTTATGTCCAGCCTGAAATGGTCTTGCAGGAGTTTATAACCGTTCGGCCTTGTCATCCCTTGGGGCACTCTGGTGAACAAATCTTCCCACAGATCCTGGTGAATACCCCTTATAAACTTACAGGTGACCATCTGAGCCTGTGATTTTCCAGGCTGAAGAGTCCCATAGCTCTCAACCTGTCGTCATAAGGTCTGTTGTCCTGACATCTGATCATGTTTGTGGCTCTCCTCTGGACTCTCTCAAGCTTCTCCACACTGCAGGCTCATGTTCATCTTGTGGTCAATCCTTACCCCCAAGTCCCTCTTGTCCGTAGTGCTAGTCAGTAAAGCATTGCCAAGCCTATAGATATGCTCCAGGTGTTTCCTCCCAAGGTGGAGAACCGTGCATTTTTCAGTGTTAAACACCATCAGGTTCTTGTCTGCCCATTTCCTGAGCCTGTCAAGGTCAGCCTGGATTACCCCCCTATCCTCAGGTGTGGATACTTTACACCAAAGTTTGGTATCATTGGCGAACTTGGCCAGTCCACTTCTGACTCCAATGTCCACATCATTAATGAAGATGTTGAACAATACAGGTGATAGGTCACCTGGTCGTAAAAGGAAATGAGGTTGGTCAAGCACGGCCTACCCATAACAAACCAGTGCTGGCTATCCCTCAGGGTGTTGCCATTGGCCAGTCCGTTAAGAATGGCATCTTTGATTTTTTTCTAAGACTTTTCCTGGGATGGAGGTTAGGCTGATGGGCCTGTAGTTTGCCGGATCCACTTTCCTCCCTTTCTTGAAGATAGGCATCACATTGGCCTTCTTGCAATCTTCAGGCGCTTCACCAGAGCGCCAGGAGACCTCGAAGATCCGTGCCAGGGGCTGAGCTATGATGCAGGCCAGCTCCTTGAGTATTCTGGAGTGTAAATTGTCAGGGCCGGCTTACCTGAAGGTGTCCAGCCTCTCAAGGTGTTCCTTCGTGAGGTCAGCATTGATGGAGGGCAAGGAACCACCCTCACTTAGGCGTTCCTGTCACGTAATGGGCAGGGCCGTCCCATGGGACTTGTGAAAGACTGACTCAAAGTACCCGTTTAGTAAGTTGGCTTTTTCATGGGCGTCAGTCATCAGTTCTCCCTTCTGGTTCAGCAGGGGTCCAGTGTTGCCCTTTCTTTTTTTCCAGCTCCCCACATATCTAAAAAAGGACTTTTTATTGTCCTTGATACTTGTAGCCAGTTGGAGTTCAGTTGCAGCCTTGGCTTTGTTGGTTTGCTCCCTAGAGGTCCGGACCAGTGCAGTATATTTCTCCTTGGAGGTGAATCTTGTCCTCCATCCTTTGTAGATCTGTCTTTTTAGATGCAGGAGTACCGCTAGTTCCTTGTTGAGCCAAGGGGGCTGCTGTGCCCTCTTGCTGCCTTTCCTCTGAGACGGAGTAGCCTTAGCTTGTGCATCTAGGATTGCTCCCTTGAGCAGCAACCACTCTTCTGGACTCCTCTCTCCTTAGGGTCGTGGTCCCTTAGGGCCTCATCGACAAATCTTCTGACCTTGTCAAAGTCAGCCCTCCTGAAGTTGAGGACCTCTGTACTGCTGACTGACTTGACAGCTTTTCAGTGGATGTTGAAGGTGATCCAGCTCATGGTCGCTGTCACTCAGCTTCCCTTCCATCGTTAGGTTGCTGATTAGGTTGGCCCCAGTTGCCAGTATCAGGTTGAGCAGCGCTTTGCCTCTTGTTGGCCCGTAGACTTCTTGAGTCAGATAAGAGCTCATCCACGCACGAGGAAGCTTTGCCACCGTTCAGATTTGGCCAAGCGCTCTTCCCACGAGATGTCTGGGTAGTTGAAGTCCCCCATGACAACCATGGACCAGGAGTGTGCAGCCTCAGCCAATTCCCTGGTGAACTCCTGGTCAATCTCTTGATTCTGGGAGGGAGGTCTGTAGTAGACTCCCACCATTGTGTCCCCTGTGCCATGTTCCCCATGGATTTTAACCCAGAGGGTCTCCAGTCGTCCACCCTGGGCACCATAGCTCTCCTTGACAGAGACACCTCTGCCCCTTTTATCCACTCAATCCCTCCTGTATAGGGTATAGCTGGCGGGCTTAGTTTAAAGCCCGGTGGAGCAGGTTTGTTTCAGCAAAGCACTTAAGTGTGTGTTGGAGACATTCTAAAATAAATTAGAATTGCTGATGTTTAAAAAGTGAAATACGTGCTGAAATGTTTTGCAGTTTCAAGTCTGGGTCCAGTTTGCTGTACTTTTAAGATTGGAAACTTGGGAGGGAAAAAATAGCATTTGTACACCTTCAAAGCATTTTATTACCTCTAATAAAGGCCTAAACACATTAATTGTTTATGCCTATGTAATGAGCATTATACCAGTGTAAAAAAGTAGCAGCTATGAGACCTCTAAACTGAGGTAACTTCACCCATTTTGGTAGGGAATTAATACTGAAATTACACTCAGTTAAGGTTTTTTGATCTGCATCCATCTTGGGGTAGCTGTTGCTAAATGAAAACAGTCTGTGTAATCTGTGGCAGGGTGCCATAATAGCCACATAGTGTAGAAAACAGCGGTAGGCAACTCTCGGCACAGGTGCCAGATCATGGCTTGGGAAAGTATTTTGCTTGGCATGTGTGCCTCCAGGCAGACAGTGGAGAAGGGGAAAGAGCTGTGCTGCCAAAACAAGGGTTGGGCCCTTTGCGGCTCCCCCCACCATCCAACCCTGGCATGCCAGTATCTTACAAGTCAAGGTTGAGGGTGCTTTTGATACTCTGCCCAAAACCATTGCTGACCCCTGATATAAAATAGCTTGGATTAGCTTCATTTCTTTATGTTCCTAATCCTGGTATAGTTTACATCAGTATATGAAGCTAGTATAAATTACAGGAGGGTATCCATTCAACTATCTATGCCTTAAATTTCAGCTGTCTGTTGGATGGAACACAAAGGTAAAAATGAATGTAAATTATTAAAATGGCAAATGTTAATCTCCCTGAAGCAGTGCAAGTAAAACTTCAGTAATTTAAAATCTATCTTTTTAATATTAAACAGGCAACAACTGAGAGACCTTTTATTCAGAAGTTATTTCGTCCAGTTGCTTCTGGAGGACAGCTACATACACTGGGAGATCTCTTAAAAGAAGTTTGTCCTACTGCAATTACTCCTGAAGGTACTTTATATTTAGCACGATATTTCTTGCTGTTCCTTTTATATATGTGAGTGTTTTTGGTCCTGTCCCACAAGCAACAAAAAGCTTGCTGCATTGCCAAAGCTGTGAGGTTTAGTCTGGCTGATGATGTTTTATGTGTGTGATAAGCTCCTAAGCCATTTGGCAATACTGAAAGTTTTAAGTTCCATTTTCAGAAAAGGCCAAGTGTTGAGGAGCATGTCTCACTGAAAGCTGATGGACTTGAGTTTGAGTCACTTCAGCACTTTTGAAAATGTTTCCTTACCTTTTTTGTTTTTTTAAATGTTTTAAAAAAAATACTTGAAAAAAGAATTGTCTTATGAAAGTGCATTCCAGAAAGTTGTTTAAAAATGTCATTTGGGTTGCGAAGACAAATCAGAGTCAGGGCATGCTAGCTTTATTGGTGTAACGTTAATTCTGTGTGTTTGAGCATATATAGACATGTTAGCTCATGGCCATGCAATTAAAAATTATTTTTTCCAAAATACCTCTGCCTTTTGTCAAACTTCAGACAATAATTTATATTAATGCTGCCTTTGGAAATACTGATTTCTAATGAGCCAATGGGAGTGCAGACTGCACTCACAGGTAAAATCAATGCATTTTAAGAAATGCTTATGTATTTCAGAGGAAAGAGGCAGGTTGCTTTTACCCTACCAGTTGATCTTCCTATATGCATCAGCTTACAACAAGAATGTAGGGCTTTTTGATGATCTTGTTGATTTTTTTAAAATTATTATAGATACTTTCTGACAGCACACAATATGACAGAGTGCCAATTCTTTTATGTAGCTACTGTTATTTCAAATGGATTTTATTGGTAGCTAGCTTTGCAATTGGTTTTTTTACTCTTGTATTTGCCACTGTCTTCCTGTTAGCTTTTAAATGATTAACTTATAAATATATCAGAGTAGCATTGTCACCTTTTTGACAGAAAGCTACTATGTTGAGAATTGTTGAGAATATTATTGTCAATTATGGTTAGAGCTGTATGGTTCCAAACAGACAACATTTCTATCAAGCAACAGGTAATATTATGCCATGTGACCTGCTTCACGTCCACATGGTAAACTATCCGAAGAGGTAAATGCACCCTAGGAACTTTCTCTGTTAATACTCAACACAAGGAAGGGCAGCTGAAGAGCTGCTGGCAGGGTCTATCACCCCCCTCCCCTACCTTCTGCTGTGCTGCTGATTATCAGCTGCTTATTCCTGTCTCCCCCTCCACCCCCACCATCCCCACCCTTGGCAAATGAGCCACTTAAACCACTGCACAGAGCATGAGAGACCTGTCCAAACACTGAGAGGGTGAAGGGGTGGTGGTGTAAGGCAGGAGTTGTGGTGGGCTCCACACTCTCCTGGAATATGAGTTGCTTTTGTATATGTGTTTTTCCTCTCTACCCCTCTTGTCCTGTTCACAGTTTTTCAAACAAATTCCCTCCCCTCCTGTCAGATTCCTGCTGTGTGCAAGTAAAGGAAGTCATGTTGAGTGTTTGTTCTCACACACTCTCACAAGGGAGAGGTGCTGAATTGCTTCTCAGGGTATTGTTACATGTTAGACCATACTAAGTCTGTGGAATGTTATGCCGCGTAAAATTTAGCACATGTTCGGAGCAGTCGCATGGTACTGCTCACTATCATCTTCTGACCTGCAGAGCTCCATCTTGATCCTAGAGAGCTGGTAAGCAGGGGTATGCTTAGGACACCCATGCTTTGTGCCTGCCTTGGGAAGGGAGATGGGGAGAGAGCTGTGCTGCAAGGAGCCCCTGAGCCAAGGCCAGCTAGAAGCAGCGGGAGTCTTCTGGAGACAGTATTGTGTGTTCTGCACCCTGCTCCTACAGCCAGGCAGGTAGTTCTGTGTCGTGTCCCCCCCCCAAGTTCTCTTTATTTCAGCTGGATGGCACAGGGGTGTTCTCCTCCCTCACCTGTTCTTCTGGCCAAGCTGTCTGATGACCCAATACCAGCACCTTCAGTCTTCCCTGGAGAGGGCTGAATCTTTTGCTAAGAGCTAGGTGAAGTTCAGAGAAGTTCAGTTAACCACAACTACTGGTTAACTGAAATTTTTCCACACCACCTGGCCATGTTTCCCCTGGCCAATCAGCTTGATGGAAGCTATGGCTTCTCTCTGTACCCTCCATTCCTGCCTTGGGGCTGGGGTGTGCTTGGTATACCAGTGGAGAGATTGATATGCAACCCCCTTCCTGGTGGCTGCATGCTCTGGTATCAGCTCTGTGCTGATGGAGAAAGCCAGAGCATAGAGCTGCTGGGAGGGGATCAGGGCAGCAGGAGCACAAAGTATGCTTCCCCTCTACCAGTGGCTCCATACTCTTACTTTTCCTACTAGTGTAGAGCTTCAGTTGCCAGGAGAAGGTTTAGTGTGGTGAGAAGTGGAGAAGCATGTTCTGGCTTCCTCCCACTGTACATTAAATCTTACCTTTCTCTACTAATTCTGCTTCTCACCCTCTTATTCTCCTCTTCAGAAAGAAAGTTTACATAAGAGTCTTTGCAAAGATTAACACGTAATATCACTAAATATATTATTTTTGGACTACTTATACCTAAGAAGGTCATTTATAAATTATCCATCTGAAATGTGGTATTTGGCTATAGGTACACATGTAGAACATCTGATACTCTGGTAATAGAAAAGGTTCCATAATGTGGCTATTTAGTAATCATCAATTGTAATTCAGCTGAATTAAAACCATCTACAGTCTGTAAAATATTTTGCTTAGCAGCTGTATATTACAAAATTAGGTAAATATGATTGATTTTTTTTTTTAACTAAGAAAGTGTGACTACTTTACAAATTAACTTGGATTTCAAGAATGTTTTTCCTGCAATTCATGCTATTTTATTTAAACATTCACTAATACTTTTTTAACATGTGAAAATAATCATCTCCCTAAATAACAAAAGGTGAAAAACATTTGGAACATTTCACTTGCATTATCTTTAAGCAATTCTGTTAAGTAATACCATTGGTTAACTGCCCAAAGAGGAAGAAAATGCATCCACATGAACAGTCTCAGGCTATGGATTAAGCAATAACTTAACTGCTTCAAAAGGAAAGAAGGATCTCCTTTTTGGAGCACGTATCAGTTGTGAGACTTACATGTTCCTGTAGTGATATAAACAGTTAGGCAACTTGTAACTTTATCTCTGAATGAAATAGGATTAGAGTTGTAGTGGGTTTGATATGCCTGGTATTGCTATAAAATCATGCAGTTCTAACATGGTATATCATAAGAGCTTATTTCAGTAATTATTTCCTGTTGATACAGTTGTTACATTTGTCTGTACCAGACTCAAAGGACCCCCTGGAAAATGCCAGCATTTAGTTTTCACCCCTTTTATGCTGACAGAAAAATAATAGAGAATGTTTTTTGTTTCAAAGAACTCAGAAAGACCACAACTGTGTATTTATCTTTGAAATCTTTGGGTTTATCTTGTGAATCATGTTTGTACACATAACAGTGCTAAGGTTGTGTGACATATGATGCCCTGCAGCACCCTTGAAAGAAACTCAAGGCACCCTGATTGAGAATCACTGGTCTATACCCTTATTCACATGAAAGCAAGGTGGTTTAACAACATGTTAATTGTATTCAAAGTGATAAAATACAAGATTGTACAAATACCAGTATGTTAGTAAAAACTGATTTATGTATAAAGGGAAATAGAGAGGTTTTTAGTTTGTGCAAGAAATAACCATGCATTTGAGCTTAAAAAATAAGCTAAAACCCCACCAATTGGATGGAGGAAGGTACTTGAAAGGTAGGCATGCAGAAAATTTCCGAGTGTGACAGGAAAATAAGTGTCATTTGTGTGTGTGTGTGCATGCGTGCTAAGGGTGGAGGTAGTATTGTAATTTTTTTTTAGTGTATGCACAGGTCTGTAAGTGAGTGGATAAATGTGTGCTCTCTCTTCTGCATGTGTGAGAGAGATATGTGCATACAACTTGTTATAAGAAGGGCTTGTGTGTACATGTCTTCTCTTTTAAAGATTTTGATTTCAGTTGCTTGTAACTTTCTTTGGCTTTAATTGTTTTACTAAAATTTTCCACACCTGATGAATTTTTTTGGAAAAATCTCAGTCAAAATGATTGCAACTTCTGAAAACAGGAGGGAAGATATAGTTTTGCCCATATTAAAATAGTTTGGTGATTTTTACTTTGTGGTCTGTCATCCCAACTTTGGATCACGGCTTTTAATTTGACAAAAGGTTAAATTATTTGGCCATTTCCTTAAAAAATTGCCCAAGTTTGGGAAAGTGATAACATTTTGAAACAACTCAGTTGCCAAATAAACAAAATGCCTCTGACAACTGAAGCCACCTCTCAAAGAAGAGCTGTGGAGAATGATAGGGGTTATGGCATGATCTGAAAGTTGGTAGGCTAGGGACAGAAGTTGCACATAAACTGGTTTTAAGTGATCAGAAACTGGTTTAAACTTGTAGCAACAGAAGTTCTATGCAGATAAGCCAGTTTCAAAATGACTGAAACTGATTTGAGATAAACCTGGTTGAATGTAGTATCAGACTTAACTGATTGAGGTAAAACAGGTTTATGGAACTTCTGTTCCAGACTCCTTCCTGGTTTAAGTTAAAGCAGAGTCCCCCAGCATGCCAGCATGATTTGCAGCTCTGGGCTGGGCTGGGCTGTCTGTTCCAGCCAAGCAAGGTTGGCCTCACCCTTCTCCCTAGCTGGATCACTATCACTGTGAAACCCTGCTCGAGTGCAGCTGGGTCTGCCTGGCAAAGGGGCAGCAGCAGTGGCAGGCATCCCCAGCTCCCCTGCCCCCCACTCACTGCTCCAGCAGCAGGAATGGGAGTATGGCCAGATGCTGGTAGCCTCAGGGGAAGGGGAAGTTTATTTCCCGCATTGCGAGCAGGGTCAGCGTAGGCATCGATAGTCTGTGCTTGTGTACCTAGGGCTGCGGCAGGCAGACACCAGTAGCCTGAAGGGAAGAGGGGAGTGGCAT